CATGTGTTTTGCAGCATAGAATCTGACAGTATGAGACTCAGAATGCATAGTGAAGTTAACACCCAGATGTGGTGGCTAGAGGCAGGGCTCTGTGGATGCTGAAGAGCCTCTGTGCTCCTTGGGTTTCATACTACTGATAACTTTGAAGGTCACATATACTACCTGAACAGTGCCTGGCTATTTCACATGCAGTTGTAAGAAGAAAAGGGATATAGGGGATGTAGTTGCATATGCTTATCTAGCATATGCAAAGCCCTGGGTTCAATCTTTGGTGCTGTGGGGTAAAATAACCTCTCAATACAGGTAGAGGGGGAGTAGAATGTAAATGCTAGATTTGGCATTTGTGTTTCAGCTGAAGAGAATCAGACAAAGCCTCTTCTGTTATCCATCTGTTGAGTGGTTCTGTAGTTTCTCTGGATTTCATTTGAACCTTCAGACTCAGGAATAGGGGCTGTGCTCATGGCCAGACACTGATGAGTAGCAGAACTGGGACTTGAACTCTGATCCTCTACTTCCTTCAGTAGTAGAACAGAGGGTTATCACTTGGGCTCAGGAAGTAGCCCAGGTCTCCCGCAGCACATCTTTGAATGCTGGCAGCAGGAGGCCAATGAATGTTTTCCTGCTCATGTGCTAAATGGAAAGCTAATAAACGAGGTTCTGTAGTTGATTTAGACAAATCCACAAGGATACCTCAGATAGTTGCTACGAGGAGGAACCTTTCCAGCCAGTAGAGATGGTGTTTCAAAACTTATTTAAGGTATAGAAACCTTGACCAACAGATCCTGATACCCATGGAGTTTGAATAATGCTGATCCTCTTTTAAAAAAATTTATATTTAAGTGCTGGGAAGGTGGCTCAGTGGTAGAGCGCTTGCCTTGCATGCATGAGGCCCTGGGTTCGATTCCTCAGCACCACATAAGCAGAAAAAGCCGAAGTGGCGCTGTGGCTCAAGTGGTAGAGTACTAGCCTTGAGTTGAAGAGCTGAGGGACAGTGCCCAGGCCCAGAGTTCAGGCCCCATGACCAAACAAATATATATAATTTTAAGTAGCTATACAAAGGGGTTACCGTTCAGTAACAGGCCAGTTTGTAAGTATAGTGCATCATTCTCCCCCATCCCTCCAAACCCTTCCTGCCCCTCAGAATATTCCTTCCTTTCCTTTTCCCTTCATCTAGTGATTGTAATGATCTCTTCAGTTTCCTACCAGCTCTAATGGAAATGAAAATCTATAGGTATTAGAAACCCCGTTATGAATTCCCTCACTCAGGCTTAATGGCAAGGGCTCCAGGTAGGTTCAGACAAATGATTTTAGACCCTTTTTAACCTCTAGCATTTCCAGGGCATTGTGGTCCAGTGCTTCCATGTGAGTTTTAGACCATTAAATCCTATAGCCAGCCTATGAATGTCATTTTCAAAACTAACGTACTGTCAGGACAGATGGGTTTTTCCAGGGCCTTCTCATACATCTTGATTTATGGCAAGGGTTTTACCAGGTGGACCTGGATAACAAATTCAGATCAGAAACTACCTTGCCTAACACCCACTAGAGTACGAGTGAAATGTCTTGTCATTTGAACTCAGAAATGCATCTGTCTGGCTGCAGTGACTGGTTTAATGGTCTGTTGAGAGGACTACAGCCATTCACCTTAGCCTTTACTGACAGGCAGCCTGACTATATTTAGCTAGGGACACCGGTGAACATCCCTGACAGGTCCTGCTGCTGCTGAAGGCAGTGTTCAAAGCTGCTCAGGGAATACAACTTACTAAATGTCACATTGGGCTTTCATTGCCTCCAGTACTCAAGTCACAAGGGGGGTCTTGTGGGATAAAATATGAGTTATCAGACCCCCAGTAAGCTCCTGCAGCTGTTGAGAAAGTCCAGGGCATTTTGAGGTGGTTGGATATATGATACAGTTTTATTATCTTTCATGTTAGGATTGTGACTGGATTTCTTATGGTTTTTGCTGTAGCCAATAGAAACAGATCTGAAAACCCCCAAGAGTCAAGGGACTTTCAAAATAATGAAGCTATTTCTCATTCCCTGCTCAGATTAGCAAGTCCAACTTTTCATAGGCCTTCCTCCTGGCAAGTCCTGCTTCAGGCAGAAAAGATGGAGCCCAGCCTGGCAGGATGAGGAAGCTCCATTAGTCGTGTAGCCCCAGGGCAAATCAAGTCTGCTGCCCTGCCTGTAGGAGCATCTGGTCAGAGCATCTGGCAACATATGCCTGTGTGAACCCTAGCCACAGACATTTGACCATTTCACCTCTTGCTGTGGCCCATAAACCCTGAAATTGCATGAAGTTTTATAGAACTCAGTAGTCCCATTTTCAGAGGGGTTATGGATGACTGGAGATTTTCAGGGCTTCTTCCTGGGTAGAAAAGGATGTTAAAGACCTCTACATTAAATATGAAGCCAGTCACACCGCAAGCACTGATTCTTCCAGACTCTTTAATGGATTTTGATGCACAGCCAGGGTGGAAAACCTAGGCCAAGGAAGCTACACAAGTTGAACGTGGTTGGAGATGAGAATGTGACACAGTACAGAGTAAGGAAAGGTGGACTTAAACTCAAATCTCTTCAGAATAATGGTAAGGACTTGAGGAAAGAGATAAGCTTCTTTAAGCTCCTTAGACTAGGAGGCTGGTTGCAGGGAGAACTTTCTATGCATGGGTGAATTTAAGGACAGACTTAGTCATAGCCATTAGCATGGTATTTGACATGGGAGTAAATATGCTAACACCCAGTCTGTAAAGCTCTCCCAGGTCTAGGTTACAGGATTTGCAGCTTGGTTGAGGGCAATAGTGATATTTAATTCTTAGGGTACAAACTCAGTCAAAGCCTACGTGACAGCAAATGATGAATAAATATGAAAGTGACAGCCCAACTCATTCACCCTCACAAATAATAACTTCCTTAAAATAAACATGTTATCAGAATAGCTGGGCTTAGTGATGTATAACCTGTAATCCCAGAACTTGGGAGGCTGACACTGGAGGATCTCAAGTTCAAGACCAGCTGGGGCTAAATAATGAGACTTTGTTTAAAACGAAAGAAAAATTTATACATAAAAGCAAAAACAAAAAGGAAATGACCTTCTTTAGCTGATAGTAAACATAGCCTTACCATCCAGAAATAACCCTTACAAATCTTTCTGAGCATATCTTGATAGAAAACAATAATTTTCCATTAATGGGATCCTGCCTGCTTTTTCTCCTCCTCTGATATTGGACTATGGCTCTTTCTTGTCACATCAATAAGTATGGGCCTACATCTGTTTAAAATAGTATTTCATTATATGGATGAGCCATTTTAAAATCTCTTTGTTGATGGGCATTCAGGTCATCTTCAATCAAAGCTATTAACAATGAGATAAAGCACCCTGCACATGTGCCTTTGAGATAGGCACCCTGCAGTAGCGATCTGCTGCTTTTATTACACTGGCCTAGCCTGGAGTGGAGATGACAAAAGCCCAGGGTCCCATCCTACTGCCACAAGCTTATTGTATTATAATTCATCTGTTATTTGCTTTTGTTTCCTCATCTCCCCCCACTCTCCCACACAATCATCATGGGCTCTGTGGTTAGGTGTGGAGTACACTGTGCTCATTTGGCCCCACCCTTTCTCATTATTAGTGTGTGCAGAGTTTAGATTGCTTCTGAAAAATCCCTGGCAATCAGCAGAACAGCCTCTGGTTGGGAACAGCTGGTGAGAAACCCACTCAGGCTGTGGCATTCCAACTGTTTTTCTAACGGTGAAGTTCCAGCATGCATTGGGGTTTATTTGTTGTGATGGGCAATGTCTCTAACTTGCCTCCTTTAAAAAAAAATCATACTTAACATTTATTTATCTCCCAATCTAATAAAGGCCTGCTGAGGACCACATTGTGTGCCTGTCACAGGACACACAGTAAAGAGAAGGCACAGACTCTGGCCACACAGGGGCTCATAGTACACCCAGGCCCGGACTTGTGATGGTCTCATTTTATGATGGTTTATAAATGATAGATGTTCAGTAGAAACTGTGCTTTGAATTTTCAGTTTTGATCTTTTTGGGCTAGTGATACTCGATACAGTCTAGAGATTCTTCAGCTCCTGGGCTATGGCAGCTAGCCTTAGTTCCCACCTAGGTCACTACCCAGTCACAAGGGTAAATAGCCAGCACTCTACCATGTGCTTATGGCTAAGCAAGGATGGGCAAGGTTAGGTGTGTTACATGTGTTCTCAACTTATGATAGATGAAAAAAATTTTTTTTCTCCTCCATCTCTCCCAGCTCCACCCACCCCCTCAATTTTTCTAGTTTCATTTTTACATATGTAAACTTATGATAGGTTTATCTGGACTTAGCCCTGTGGTAAGTCCAGGAACATCTGTATGATGTTCCTAAATGTTGCTTTCTGTAGAAGTCAGGCTGTCAAGCCTCCTCAGAACTTTGGCATTCTAAAGAAACTTTTATTTAAGGGAAATGATTTTATAATCTCCTTAGTTGAAATGCCTACATTGACCACAGCAAAATCATGTCGGGCAGATCCTTGCCTGCTTTCCATCCAAATGTGGGTCATTTTCTTGGCAGAAGAATAAAGGGACCATGTATTCGCTTTATAATTTCAGAGTTAGTGTGTCAGAATGACAAAAACTGACGTAAGATGAGGGAGTCTGGACATTCTAGCTTATACTTTTTGCTAGATTAATGGAGACTTGGAATTAATTGGGGACGGTCAGCTGTCATGTGAGGAGCTCAGGGGTTGGCAGTGGCTCTCTTGACTTGAAGCCTTGGTAAGGGATTTTAAGTGCTTTGGGGACCCCATCTCAGAAATGTGCTTATATACATAGACGAGGATTTTTAATATGGGAACAAGCAGTTTGAAGATCACCAGTGAAGAACTCATGACCTGATCCAGTCCCTGGATTTAACAGGTAGAATTACCGAGGCTTGTGACAGAAGATAACCATAGGCTCTTACTATCCTGATACTCCTAAAGAAGCATTTTTCTTTCTTTCAGCACTGGCTGGATCATTCCAAACCCATAAAGAAGCAGATGAAAAGTAAGTAAAGAGAGTCTAGTCTACTCATTTATTTCTTTTATCTAAGTAAACTCCTTTGCCAAGGTTTTAGAGTTTTATGTTTTCACTAGAACTTGAAAGTATTTTTTAAAATAGACTCAACCTTAAGTGGTTGATTTTTAATTTCTTAATGCTGGCCAAAAGTTAGAGTTTAAATTTTTACTGTTTTTAGAAGATATTAAAAATCCAACTATGCTCTCATTTGAAATTCAACACATCTGGGCTGGGAAGGTGGCTCAGTGGTAGAGCACTTGCCTTGCATGCATGAGGCCCTGGGTTCGATTCCTCAGCACCACATAAACAGAAGAAAAAAAACGGAAGTGGCGCTGTGGCTCAAGTGGAAGAGTGCTAGCCTTGAGCTGAAGAGCTGAAGGACAGCACCCAGGCCCAGAGTTCAGGCCCCACGACCGGACCGCCCCCCCCCAAAAAAAAGAAGTTCAACACATCTGCCAATGAGATTTACATATACTCTTCACTTCCAAATAATTTACAAAGTAGACTCAGACAGTCAGAAAGGAATGGGGTTCTTCAATGGTATGGTCCTATTCACTCCTTTAAACAAGTGTGTAATTCCATTTTTCTAATGCTGTTTATGCTTGGGTTATAAATAATACGTTCTCTTAGAAGTATATTAAGGCTGGATGCTGGTGGCTCATGCCTAATACATACATACACACATATTCATTTCTAACTACTCAGGAGGCTGAGATCTGAGGATCATAGTTCAAGCCCAACCTAGACAAGAAAGTTTGTGCAACTTTTATCTCCAACTAATAAGCAAAAAGCTGGGAATAGAGGTGTGATTCAAGTATGGTGGAGCATCAGCCTTATGAGAAAAAGCTAAGCAAGAGAGAGAGCCCCCTCAAAAAAAATACTAGCTCAATACCAGTACACACACATACTCTCTCTGTCTCTCTCTTTCTCTTTCTTCCTCCTGCTCTCTCCGTCTCTCTCTGTCTCTCTCTGTCTCTCTCTTACATACATCACACACACACACACACACACACACACACACACACACACACAAGTATATTAAGGTATTGTAGCTTTAGGCAGCAAATCACTTTGCTATTTATGTACACTTTCCTTTAGCCCATCTCATACTTCGTAAAATGTAGGTATCAATTTAGAGTATCTTGGAATCAGAGGGGAAAGTATATGGTAAATGCCAGCTCTTAGTTAATCATCTGTCAGATTTAAGTTCCCAGATAAGCCATCTTAGTCAACAACAACAACAATAAAAAGCACATTTTCATTTCTAAGCTAGCATGGAGAGAATGTACTAACTTTGCAAGTTATGTCTTGCAAATGGATCAGTGGCTATGCTATAGATTTAATGTGTTTTTCCTTTTGTCCATTCTGTGATCTTCAAACTGGGGGAAAAAATCTTCAACTTTCCTTCTCTTTATGTTTAGTTGGACCTGCATATGCTTTGCACTTTCGAGTTAAATATTATTCTTCAGAACCGAACAACCTTCGAGAAGAGTTTACAAGGTAGGACATAACACACAACACACACACACACACTGCCTCAAAGCACTTGGCTTACATAAGATATATGAGTTTTCTACATCATGGATTTTTGCTACTCTTTCTCACATGGTCTGTTTCAGAGGAAGAATAACTATCATTCTTTCTGTGTTTCTTATTCTCTTGTAAATCCAAATCTTTGCTTGGTTTTTCTTAGGAAATAGAATTTAGATTTATTTTCTTGTTCTGTTTCTATTTTCTTGGAAGTTGGGTAAATTGGTTGGTTGTTCTGTGTTCTGTGTTCTATTTTTGTCTCAGTTGTAATAATGAAAAACAGAGATCTTGGTGCAGAATTGCTATCTTATTTTTATAAGAGGTGGTAGAACATCCCCCTAATTGTTGCAGTAGAAGGTATCCCCTTTATAGACAAACCACACTAGTTACAACAAAGTTATTAAAATACTGTTATTTTGCTTTCCAGCCCCACTGCATTTCTTTTTTTTTCTTTTTGCACCAATACTGGGGCTTGAACTTGGGGACTAGCACTCTATTACATCAGTCACAGCTCCACTTCTGTATTTGTTTGTTGCTTAATTGGAGATAAGAATCACAGACTTTTCTGCCCAGGCTGGCTTCAAACTGTGATCCTCAGATCTCAGCTTCCTTAGTAGGATTACAGATGTGAGCTGCAAGTGCCTAACCCCCACTGAATAATTTTATGTTGTTCTGTATTTTTTGTCTCTTGGATTTCAGAAATAGTGTACAAGAAAAAGAGAACTTTAAATAGCATTTCTTCTGTCCACATCAGCGTTGTGTGACATTTGATTTGTACACACAGGTCAGTGTCCTACGTTTCAGAAGTGGAGTTCAATTATTCCAGTGTTCCTCTTCAGGAACATGCTGCTCCTAGCTGTCACCAAAGCCAATGGTTTTTAAGATGGATTATGTGAATCAGAAACACCTGGGAAGCTTTTGAACAAGTCAAATTCCTGGGGGCCACTCTTGCATGTGGGATTAGCTCTAGGCATGGAGTAGAGTGTGGGCAGTTTGGTTCGTACAAAGCACTATAAGTGGTGCCCACATCCTCCTGCTAATAAAACTTGAAGTGAAGGCATTTATTTGTTTATTTATAAGTAAACCCTGCTTGTGCCATTTGCTGCCTTTTTCTGTTTGTTTTTTTTTTAATAACTCCTATAGCCTATAACAATCCCTTTTCAGGATTTTCTTGGTGTGTGTGTGTGTGTGTGTTTTGTGTGTACACAGGTACATTTATATTATTGGATACTTCTTTTACAAAAAGGAAAATAAAGAAAAGGAAAAAGGACAAGAGTCTACAGTTAGACTGTACCAGGAAGAAAAGCTTCAAGCTGTTGCTGGCAGACTCCAGTCAGCTATAAACTTTTTGATAGGATTCTGAAATCTGCCAGGGAGAATTGGCTGAGGGCAAATCTAGTGGTTCTACCCTGCACATTTTCTTGGATACATTGCATGCTTCTGTGCTAAGATCTATGTATCTGATCTGTCTGGCTTGCTTCTCAAACACCAGAGGGGTCATAGAGGCTGTCATTGGACCACTCGGTGTTCCTTATTCCATCCTACAAGTATCTCGGGAACTCCCTAGGTATACTTACCTGCCTAGCAAGGCCCAAGAGGAGGTACCTCACTCATGTTCTCATTTGCTTTGGACTCCCTTTTGACAATGCAGAATTCTAGACTGTGTGCAGAGTGGTCCTTTTTTGGGAAGTTTGGGATTGGAGGTGGTTGGGAAAAGGGTTTAACCCTCTGTTGACTTTTGTATATGTTTGTCAGGTACCTGTTTGTTTTACAACTCAGGCATGACATTCTTTCTGGAAAGTAAGTATGTTTTTGTTCTAACTCTTAACCCAACATAGATCATAGTTTACATCAAAACAATTCACTGTTTTAACTCTTTTACCCTTGTTCCCTTTTCAAAATTCAAAAAAAAAGTGCACCAGGCATTGTAAAGTGAGTCTTTATACTTGTATCACTGTCATTATCATTCTATTTTAAATGATTATTATATGGCTTGAAGCATTTCCAAGAGCATTTAATATCTTAAGTGATGTGTATTGGGGAATAATTCTCTCCCTGATCACATCACTGCCCCATTCATAATGGCTTTTGTTGTATTTGCAAGCAAGATGCATTATTAGTATGTATACACGTACAAGTATTTGGACAGTCCAAAAGTCTCATTCATCACCATCTATATTGGAGGAATGTAAAGGGGCTATGTTCTGACTCTGCTAGAAAGAGGTTTAGCTATCATCTCATTTCCTTTCCCTTCTGAAAAATGGGTTTTTAGACTTTTGTCTACAAACAGTGATTATTGAGCACGAGAAGCAGTATCACCAAAGTGGTTGATTTTTTTGCATGCAACATTAATTTATTTTAAAGATAGAGATTTCAGCAGTCTTAGTAGCTTTTATGATTGCATCATTTTCCAGCATAGGTATTAAGTATTTTGTTATGTGAAGAAGAAAGGCTATATCAAGTCTAAGAAGTAATACCTGATGCTATTGTCAAGAATGCATTCTGATTTTGAATGTAATCTGAAGAAAACTTAAAATGTAATTTCCGAATTTGCAAACTCTCAATAGAATTATGTGCAACAATAATTTCAGTAGAATAATGCGCTCTAGAATGAGTGGATTGTACAGTGTATACATTTGCCCTATTCAGCCATGCAATACAGACGTTTGGTTGGTGTGTGTATTATGAGTGTGTGTATTTTTATCTTTCCATAATGTGCTCCTCATATGAAAGGCCTTGTAACTGTAGAAATTGTCTTCAGATTGGAAAAAATACTAATGGCAATACTTTGCATATGTACAGCACTTTGCAGTTTATGTCCACTTCCTCATGATTTGCTATACTTCAAAGCAGAATGGCATAGTAGGCCCAGCACTGCCTGTTATCAGCTAGGTGACCTTGGGCAAGGCCCCTGAATACTCTCTACCTCATTTGTGAAGTGGGAGATTGGGGGACATTGGCCACACCCTCCTGAGGGGTCTACAGACTCCAGGCACTGACCAAATTGGATAATACACCCTAAAGGCTTTGGAACTCTGAAGTGCTATACCAGTGCATGTCATTATTATTTTTCTGCCTTTGGAACTTTAAGTATGAATGAGATCACTAGATTTGCAGTAGTACTCCCCTGTGCTATGCCTCAGTTACACTTACTACAATGCTGAGTGCATCCAGCTGTCCTGGTGGTGTTAGACCTTGTGTCTATGTGTTTATTTTTAACATGATGACCTTGTTTCAAGAAAGATTTTAGGCAGCTTGAAAAGATGCATGTACTGTCTCAAGATAAAATAAATTTTTTACAAGTTTTAAAACAAGGCAAAGGGATGCCTTTTCATTCTGTTTTGGAAATTTCTCTTCTTGCCAAATTCAGTTAAAAAAACAGCCACATGGTTGACAGAAAGTGTATTTATATTGAATCATTTTGCTATATAATGAAAACTGACTTTGGGAATTTATAGTGTAAGTCAGTTTGCATGCATCCTTTAATGTAGGCCATTAAATGTGTAGATCAAAAATTTGAACCACTAAAAACCAATTCATTGTTTAGCTATCCCTATCTTTTGAAGAATGATTTTTATGGACACTTTGAAATCTCATGAATATGTGGCCTCAGATTGAGAAGTACTTTCTTTTCTTCTTTTTTTTTTTCAAGATTGAAGTGCCCCTATGAAACAGCTGTGGAACTAGCTGCTCTGTGTCTGCAAGGTACATTCTCATGCTCAGCAGTAATTTGTGTTTTAAAGACATTATTTTAATTTCAACAAGTGTGTATGTGCTGAGGTTCAAGCTCCATGCTCTTTTTTGGCACAGGATAGAAATAAATAGAATAATGGTTTCTATGCCCAGCAGTTTGTGATCGAGTGAAGAAAAGCAGATTCAGATGTAGTTCCTCCAGCAGTGAAGACAAAGGTGCCTTGGAAGAGGCAGGTCTGGGTTGGAGGGAGGAAGGCAGGCTGCAGAGAAGAAACTTAATCAAGGAACCGAGGCACAAAACAAATATGCAGAGCAGGGATGGAGGGTAGCTCAATGGTAGAGAGAATTTTCCTAGTCTGCATAAGGTTCTGGGTTCAATACCCAATATCTCAAAACAACAGCAAAACCACACATAGTTCAGAGAAGTAGCAACAGTTGAGTGGCAAGTGTCACAGAGTAAAGTTTGGGAAATTAGATAGGTGAATGGCTTCAGGCCCTATTGGAAGGTATGAACTTCTTGTAGTCATCAACAGTGCCTTTGTTGGCTCTTGAGGAGGCAGAATGCATATTTGGAAAAGCCAAGCTGACAGTAAAGGGAAAAGAGGCTGGCACACGTGTAGCAAGAGTAGGAATTGGTGAAGAGTGTTGCTGTAATAGAGGTAATAGGAAACAGAGCAGGGCAAATGATCATGCACATGCCAAATCAGTGCAAGGAGCAGAACTTGAGTGTTGAGGTTTGGGTGTGAGAGACAAGTCAGAGATGACTCAGGCTGCTTGTGAGGGTGGATGATGACAAGGGAGAGAGATTAAGAGAGTTGGGCTCTGGTGCAGAATCACCGTGTGGTCCTCTGAGCTGAGAGGTGTCAAAATGGCAGCTACTTCTCTGGTGTGTATGAGAATGGTTCATCCCAAAGTCAGGCTACAAGCAGTGCTGTTGGGGTCACCAGGCTATGGGTGGGAACTGAGTGGCAAGAGGTTTGCCTGCAGGATCGTCCATGGTGCCTGTTCATCCATAGGAGACTCCAGTGGATCATCACTTAAAATGCATAAGGAGCATTGATTGGAGTCTCCTGCATTAATTAAGAGAATTCTAATGTGTAGCTGCATATACAAGAGATTTCATTAGCGTGCAGATAGACATATGTTGTAGATTCACTTAGCTACTATTGGTTTATGAATTAGGATGTAATCATTTACAATTTGTACTTGTAAATATCATGAGATTTAGCTTCTCACTTTTGTATTTCACCAACTTAAAATGATGAGCTGGGGTGTTTTTGTTTTGTTTTTTTTTAATGACAAAATTGGTACACACTAACATAGGAGGATCATGACATTAAAACGGGGCAAATCAAAGGAAAGGAGTGATCACAGTCCTGCAAGCAGTTTCTATTTATGAGTTTTCAATGGAGTTTTTGAGAACTGTAGATCTGATCAGAGTTTCATACAATTTTTTTTTTTTTTGTCGGTCATGGAGCTTGAACTCTGGGCCTGAGCGCTGTCCCTCAGCTCTTCAGCTCAAGGCTAGCTCTCTACTATTTGAGCTACAGCGCCATTTCTGGTTTTCTCGTTTATTAGATATAACAGTTTCACGGACTTTCTTGCCCGGGCTGTCTTTGAACCGTGATCCTTAGATCTCAGCCTCCTGAATAGGATTACAAGTGTGAACCACCAGTGCCGGGCTACATACAATTTTTTGTATACTTTTTTTTTACCTTGGCGCTTTTAGTAAATGTACACTCATAAAGATGGCTTTGTATGTGTGTGCCTACATTCAGGCCTGAACTCAGGGTTTAAGGCACCATCCCTTAGCTTGTTTGCTCAAGTCTCTCACTCTATCACTTGAGTCACAGCTCTACTTCTGACTTTTTTGTGGTTAATCAGAGATAAAAGTTTTGTGGGCTTTTCCTGCCCAGGCTGGCTTCTAACCACAATCCTCAGAGCTCAGCCTCCTGAGTAGCTAGAATTACTGGCATGAGCCACCAGCACCCAGCCTTAAATGACTTTTTTTTGGGGGGGGTGGGGGGGATGCTGGTACAGGAGCTTGAGCTTGAGGCCTGATGCTGTTCCTGAGTTTTTTTGCTCAAGGCTAGTGCTCTACCACTTGAGCCAAAGTTCCACTTTTGGTCTTTTGGTGGTTAACTGGATATAAGAGCCATGACTTTTTCTGCCTAAGCTGACTTTGAACTGTAATCCTCAGATCCCAGCCTCCTGAGTAGCTAGGATTACAGGTATGAGCCACCAGTGCCCGGCATCAAAGATGGCCTTTAACAGCTACATGATACTCCTATTTCTGGATACTTTATTCCTCATTGAGTATCCTTTATGCCCTGTTATCTACCACTTGGGCTTGCTGTATTATAGATGATCAATAAATGCAATGAAGGAATGTGGCTGGAGATACACTAAGGGACCTTGGCCAAATACAGTGCTTAGTGCTTCCTACCCATATATGGCAGGCCATACTCATCTGTGGCAGACCCTGTGGTAAACACCTGCAGCTGCAGAGCTGAGGACAAGGCAGCAGCCTTTCCTGTGACCAGGTACAGATTTTCTCAGTGTAGCTGGAGGCCTTCATCCACCCTGGAGCTCCAGAGATGCTGGAGTCCTTGCCACTATTATGCTTAGCAGCCCTCAGGAGATGTCAGGGTTTTCAATATAATAAAAGCACCCATGTCAGGCCTGGGGCCATTAGTCACTGGAAAGGTTTTCTCCTAAGGCCATTGGAACAATATTGCAAGCTTGTTATGCTGAATGATTAGAGGATGACACACACACATCACTACACTCCTGCTCCCTGCGTGATGGAGGGCCATACCACATTTATAACATCCAGCTCTAGTTGAACTGTGTGTCTTGCCAAGATTAGAGCAGCTGAGAACAAGGTCAGCTGTCTGTTGGCCTTTCTTGGATAAATTAGTCATTTGAGTTAGAACTCTATCATTAGTTTAATTTAATATGTAATCAATATGTCAGGTACAAATAAAAAGACTTTGAAGACTTAAGCATAGACAGGAAGAAACCTTGTCACATTGTCCCTCCATGTTTCCTCCCACCCATCTCCTGGGTCAGTGCTCCAGCCTGCTCTTGGCCTCAGCCCAGCTGACCTGCTTGCTCTGGGCACTGAAAATCACTGGAGCAGCTCTGTCGTGTGAATAAAATGAAGAGTTGTGCTTTTTCCCCATGCGTGAGCTTTGAAGATATGTCTTGCTGTGGATATCCTTGAGTTAATGGTGCTTCCTGAGTTATGATACAGTGGCCCAGCATGGAGGCTGTGCTCTTTGGGAAATACTTTTGTGGTAGATTTGAAAATTCATTCAAGCAAAAGGGGGAAAGGAAAAAGGGAGGAGGAAGAATGAGAGTGAGTTGTCAAATGTCATGTGGTCTCATTTCATCCTCATACCAAGATAGGGAGCAGAAAGGTCCAGAGTGGTTAAGGTACTTGCCTACAGTCACACAGATAGCATATAGTATAGTTAGGATTCAAGCTGGCCTGTGTCTGAGCTGTTCACAACATCCCTCCACAGCCTCCCAGGAGCTGGAGGTTTGCTTCAGAGGGGGTGAGCTAGTCAAGTGTAAGGTCCTTCCCACGGATTCTTGGAAGGCAGAGTAGTGTCTCTGGATCACTGGGGCTTGTTTCAGTACAGTACAGGTGAAATTGATTCTGGCCCTTTACCCAATGTGAACACACCTGTCCTTCTTGCTTTGCTTGATGATGGCAGTGGTCTGGTTAATCCTGCTCATCCAGATATACCACTGAACACAAGAATCTGAGACCTCCCTTAGTCTCACTTAGTGGGTATAGGGGTTCATATTATGAACCCTGTAGCCTTTTCTAGTTCCAAAGTGACCCACTTGGTAGCCTCTAGTCTGGAGAAACCAGACCTAGTTTTTCTGGACATACACTTTTTTCCAGAGTGTCTTCATTTTTGCCTTTACTAGGCCAATGTAAGCCTTGACATAGACTCTAAGTGTGCAGCTGAGGGTCCACAGCCAAGTCGGGAGGTACTCACAGTGTCCCATCATTACACAAGCGGCTCACTGTCTCCCTGGATTAGATTTTACTGTTGCAATCAAATGCATAGACAAGGACTTTTTTCCCCCTTTGAGACGATGTCTCACTATGTAGCCTAGGCCTCCGGAGTGCTGGTGTTACATGCATGTATTTCCATGCCTATTACAAAGACATTTTACCCACTTTGGCAAGCTAACTGGAGCCCTTTTTTTTTTTCCTGAACAATGGGCTGTGAGATTGGGACTCTCAGAAGACCTGTGCTGGCTGGGTTTACCTTAATGGAGTAATATAGTCAGCTGCCACTCTCTGCCGGTAGGCAGGCAGGCAGGCAGACGTGGTCTGGTGTGGACTCGATGTGTGAAGCAAAGATTCTCCAAAAAATGCTTCCCAGGTTGTCCACATCAGCATTGCTGGAGGATTTTGTTAGAAATGCATAGTCTGGCCTCATTCCATATCTGAATCAGAAACTCTGTGTATAGAGTCCAGGTCGTGGTGGGAAGGAGGGGGTGTCCATGCTGCAGATCTTTACAAGGACTACACCTTGTAAAGCAGTTGTTAGAGGAAATTGGAGAATTTGTTTTCATTCTGGGGTCTTCAGAAGTGGAGTGTGGAGAACAGATTTTTTTCACTCATCCCCTGCAGGGCTGGGGCCACCTGTGTCCTCAGGTAATCCATTCTGTGGGCAACTTAGCAAGACTAGGCAGCACATTTCAGGCTTTGTGCTGGGCTGGTCCTTATCACTGCTTTCCTTCTGCACAGCTGTGTCCCTCCTAGGCTCTGCCTGACATTCCGCAGTCTCTCCTGTAGCCTGCTCACCCCGCCTCTCTCCTCTCCTCTCCCTCCCTCCCTCCTCCCATCCTGCATGTACCAAATTCTTGGTCCAGCCTCCCCAGTACTGCAGACCCTGAAGCATTGCTGATCCAGACTTAATGAGGCCCGTACAGTGGGTGTTTCTGGGCAGATCCTCATTCCCTGCAATTGACTTTTATTGCAAATCCCTACTTCTCAGGGGAATGTAATCAGGGCCTCCCTGGCTGGGAGGAGAAACAGCAGGGAGGAAGAACAGTAGTAGCTAAGATGATGGTGTGCCACCTGACAGGAAGGACATTAGAATGGTGGTTGGGGATTCTGAGCAAATAGATGGCTACCGGTGAGAGTACAGTCTTCCTGAAAGGAGAGTGGTAGAGCACTCAAGGGGTACCTGTGTTTTATAATCATGCAAAATGCCTTTGGACTCAGTGGCAGCAATAACCATAGGTGTTCTGTGTCTCCTGTTTTTCTCCCTTTTATGAACTGCAGCGGAGCTTGGGGAGTGTGAGCTTCCAGAACACACACCAGAGCTTGTGTCTGAGTTTCGGTTCATTCCAAATCAGACAGAAGCGATGGAATTTGATATCTTCCAAAGATGGAAAGAGTGCAGGTACCTTGATGCAACTGTCTCACCTTCTGACATATTTATTTTGTCCTATGTGTTTGTTGAGCTCCTGTCTACCATAGAATTCTCAGCTGATGACTAAAACAGTTTCTCCAATAGTAACTTGTCTTGTTCGCCTCTCTTCTGTTTACCCACACCTAACTTCACAGGACAGGTCACTGTCAAAATTCAGGGACAGCAGGGAATAATACATTAAATTGCTTTCAAGCTTTGTGTATAATGAATATATGAAGCATCAGTAGCTTTCAGGGTTAGATTCTACCCTTATCCACAAGTCATCTGTCTTATCTAAAATCTGAAAAAGGCTGAAATCATAAACACTGCTGGTCCCAAACATTTTGGAAAAGGGGGACCCCCGTTGTGTAGAAACACAGTTGAGGCCATATACTATATGGCATTATATTTCAGGAAATGTGGGCATCACACCAAAAAACAAACAAACAAAAACCCAGTCATGTTATTTATCTCTACAGGTACCTCCTGTAAATAACACTTTTGCCCCAGGGTCGACACTGCCTCTCTCTTAGTTTCCTAGGGGGTCACCTTTTCTCTTTCCTTTCTCTAAATACCATCTACTCCTCTCCCAGACCCAGAAATTGGTGTGGCCTTTGACTCTCCCTCAGTCTTTTTGAAGAAGGACCAATGACTTTTTTTTAAAATGGAGTTCAGTTTAAAATGGAGACAGAACATGAGTTCTTACTGTCTAATATTGAAACAAGAAACAAGTGTGTGGAGACAGAGTTGTTCCAACAACTGCACAAACACACAGCTTCCTTCCTTCCTTTCTTCCCACAGGGCAAAGTCTGTTGGGTCTTTCCAGCCTTTTCCTTCGTATTTTTTTTTGTGTGTGAAAATACTGTACAGAGGGGTTACAATTACATGGGCAAGATTCCTTCGTATTTTTGTATACTTGTCTATACATAAAAGCACCAGTTTATTTTCTTAAATGATTCTACTATAGACACTGTTATGGGATTGTCCCATTCAATTACCAGTGTGTTCCTGGAAATCTTTTCCTGGTACTTCTCTTTGTTGAAATTGCTGCATGACCTTCCCTAGTGTGTATGGTCTGCCCCTCAAACTCCTGTGGTTGTATTCATCCCAGTTTACCTGTGTTTCCATTGGTCTTTCTAAGGGGAAAGAGCCCTGCCCAGGCGGAACTCTCCTATCTGAATAAAGCGAAGTGGCTGGAAATGTATGGGGTAGACATGCACGTTGTCAGGGTAAGAACTGTGTACATTTGAGTGATTTCCTTTTGCTGTTACTGAACAATATGTAGTGGGCCAACAAAGTAACTTGTGGAGAGGAAATTGTTTTTGCATTCTGCTCTGTGACGACCTGTTGGAACCCTCTACCGATTGTCACTTCGTTTGTTTGTAGGGAAGAGATGGCTGTGAATATTCTCTTGGACTGACCCCGACAGGCATATTAATCTTTGAAGGAGCTAACAAAATAGGCTTATTCTTTTGGTAATTTAGTTTTGTCTAATATTAAAAATGTCTTTTCCTATTTTGTGGTGGAAATCTATGTGATGGATGATTACTGAGGGGTATTGGCGACACCCAGATTCATCTTTAAAAAATCTCACCATCCTTTTGTTTGTGGGTGTTTGGCAATTGCCCTTACACTTCTGGATAATCACATTTAAATGAATGAGTGATTCTTTTTTTTTTCTTAGCCAATCTAAGCTTTAAAAAAATGTAGAAAGGAAACTGCTGTTTGATGTGTGGTTTTACTGCAGATTATGCTTTTTAAAGTGCTTTCTCTCTGACCAGGCCTAAGATTACCAAAATGGATTTTAAAAAGAGCAAACTAACACTCGTGGTGGTGGAGGACGATGATCAGGTAGGTCTTGCTACCATTTCTCTTCTTTTCTGTGAATAACCCTACATCCATGTGACATATTTCCACTTTGCTCCCTTCCAGGGTCGTGAGCAGGAGCACACCTTTGTGTTCCGGTTGGACAGCGCCCGTACCTGCAAGCACCTGTGGAAGTGTGCGGTAGAGCACCATGCTTTCTTCCGCCTGCGCACACCCGGGAATGGCAAGTCCAACAGATCTGACTTCATCCGGCTGGGCTCCCGCTTCCGGTTTAGGTGGGTGGCTGCTTGTTTTTTGAATGGAGGGATGGGTTTGAATCTCAAGATTTGAGTCTCCTCCTCACTCACACACATACACACACCCCTCAACTTCTTTCTTTAGAGTCTGACTTAGAGGAGACACACAAGTTTTTATGGCCTTCATATCCTCTTTGACAAAATGGAACTAATACACATTAAGGATCTCTTATCTGAACTGCTTGGGACCCAAAGAAGTGTTAACAGATTTCAGAGTCCTTTGGATTTTGGAATACTTGATATTTGATACTGCAAATTTCTAATGATTGGGAAACAGACTTTGTAATTTTGAATTAAGGATGCTCAGCCTATAACAGCACAATTGTTACTAGCTGACATGTAGCTAGAGTTATGCTATCTAATAATGCATATTTATTGAGTTTTAAGATGTAGTCCCTTGGTCTCTCTCTGGCCACATTTCAAGTATTCAGTAGCCAGCCACAGGAGGCTAGTGGCTACCTATTAAGCAGGTAAGACATAGGGGATAGCATTAGAGTAGCACATACAACCAGTAAGTAATAGTACAGAGGTGGAGATTCAACCCCAGACTGTCTGACTCTTGTATTTCTTTTTCTGTTGTTGTATTATTGAGACAGGCTCTCACTATGTAGCCCAGATTGGCCTTAAACTCTCCATCTTCCTTTTTTCCTACTTCCCAAGTGCTAGTATGATAAGCATGTGCCACAATACCCAGCTTTGGTTCTTATGTATCTAACTACTACCTATATCTCCTTTTCTATCCCAATGTCAAGAAATTTGGTAATGATTAAGAATGACAGCAGGTGTGTATGTGTTCTGTCTATCTGTCCCAGGGTAGTCTCAGTAAATATTTCAACCTGAAAGTAACCCTAAAGAAATAATAAGCTTATTCTGATATAGTTTTGTTTGTGAATCTAAGACCCAGATCTCTTAGGTACAGGCAAATTCCTTGGGTATTTGTTAAAACTCAGATGTGTGGCTTCATCCAGTGCCTTGGTCATCAATATCTGTAGTGTACACATGCATGTGTAAACTGTGGCAATGTGCATTTTATATGCACATGTACAGATCTGAGAATCTTGATTACAAGATACAGAACTTCACTTGGTTTCATAACCTCTACCCACACATGGCATGTCCCTGAACTCTGTTTAAAATGCCAAGAGACGGGCTCATTTCAGATTTCATCTACTGTGCAAGGAAATGGCTGTGCACTCTGCTTAAGGAATTATTTTGTTTGAATATATTTTTAAATGTACCAAGGACAGGGGAAAAAGTACCAAGTCTTTTCTAAGGAAGAATTAAAATCACAGGGCTGGGGATGGAAATGTTAGTGCCACAGAGGTTTAAGAAGCTATTCATGTTCGGCTGATGTCCTTGCCAGCTAGAAAAGAGGAGAAGACAGTAGGGGTGATTGCAAAAGCAGGCTTTGCTTTCCAGGGGCAAAATGTCCTTGGTTTTGGCTTTGACCTAGTCTCTGCTGCTCTTTAAGGAGAAGTGTAAAAGGAAGGAGGTGTAGAGATAAGATTGCCTCTTAGACACAGGGGAAGGTAGAAAATGGCTCCTGTCCTTCTGATAAAGTAAGCATGCCTGGATTGGCACAGTGATGAATAGATCAGCAAAGAACAGTATCCCTACCCAGGTGTGGTGGCTCGTACTTGTAAGCCCTAAGTTTGAAGCTCACCTGGGTAAAGTTAGCATAACTGTATCTCAAAAATCAAACAAGACCAAAAGAAAAATACAAATAGAATGGCTGAGGAAAGTGTTAGAATATTTGCCTACCATGTGCAAGGTCCTGGGTTTAATCCCCAGTACTGCAAAAATAAATAAGTAAAAAAGAGCAGTGTCCGACCTGTTGTCAGAGCTGGATGTCAGTCATAGTGGCTGAGTCCCAGAGTCCCAGCAAGCCTGGGTGAAGTAAATAATGTTTCTCTTGGCATGGCAAAGTAATCCAGGGTTTAGTTAAGGGGCCATTGGTAACAGCCTCAAAGATGGGTTAAGTGTCTCTATGCACTGTGCTCCATGAAAGGATATTTGTGTGCTAATCCATGTTCTAGTTAAGTGTTCCAAGTTCTTGGACCTGCTTGGATTTGTGCGGCTGAGTGGCTGGTACTTAAATTGCAGGTTTTACTCTTCAGTGGAAATCCTTATCCCTGTTTGGCAAAGATTTTATTTCCAAACAGAAACCTTAAACTTAATGTCCAAGCTAAGTTGAAATATACACAGCCTTTGAAAATAAAAATTCACTTCCCAATAGGTATGATGTGCTGAGATTCTGATATTGGTAACATGCAATCAAATATTTCCTTCCCAGCGGGCGGACAGAATATCAAGCTACACATGGCGCCAGGCTGCGAAGGACCAGCACCTTTGAGAGGAAGCCTAGCAAACGTTACCCATCCCGGAGACATTCCACGTTCAAAGGTTGTGTGGTGCTCTTTCTGTTGATCAAGCAGCATGTGAAGGAGTTTGCTGCAGTTCACTAATTTGTCATCCAGAGGCAATCTCTTGATGGGGCTTAGGCCTCTTCTCGTATCCCCCAGTTGTTAATCTTCTTCTTTTGGATGTTTTGTCTGCTTTCCCCCTCATCCATCACTCTTTTCCTATGCCTCTTTGCTTTTTGTGGACCTGGGGAACCTCAGCAATACTATAAATGAACATCTTCTTCTGCCTGTAAAAGATGTAACCCTTTCCACCATTTTGGTAGGGACATTCTCTCATGCTTATCTAGAATTCTGACCACATAAGAGTAGATGCAGAGCCAGGCTTATGCCTGTAATCCTACTCAGTAGGCTGAGCCTGCGCAGACAATTCCAAGCCAGTTAATGTGCATGAACATGAAGAGATTTGGCTCAGGTCTCCCCAGTCAGCCCAGACATACCCATCCTTGAATGTAGCCTTGTGGAGGACTGCTACCCTTCCCACTTCTTGGATTCTCCTGAAATGTATCTGTCCCTCACTGCAGTGACTCATATCTAAGTGAGGCCTGGAACTAGGGCATGCTCAGTGAAGGAGCAAATCAAACTCAGCTCATTTCTGCGTAAACTCAGCCTTCACATCCCATCCCATCGCTCTTTTTTCTCCACATTGAATGGCTCCTCCATTCAGCACATCCAGGTTAGCACTAAATTGTTGCCCTTTTATAGCACTGCTCTGCACACAGTCCTCCTCAGCCTTCCTGTCCTTTCCTTGTGACCATTCTATATGTTTTTTCTTGCATAGCTCAGGACTTAATGGGTCTCTGTGGAACCTAGTTCCTCTATTTGTGCCTTCCTAGAGTCTTTAACCTTTGTCCCCTCATTCCCTTCCTTTATAAACTAGCAGCACAGTAGTGTGGCATCCAGAAAGTCTTAGTCATTCTCAACTGCTTTAGTGGAAGAAAAATACCCAGAGCCCAGAAAACATGGCCCCACTTTCAAAAAAGGCTAGAGGATAGGAGCAAGTCCACAAAAGGGGGATGGACGATGAGCCATTACAGCGATTGTAGAGGGCACTGGCGGGGACAAGAGCTTTCTCTAGTCTGAGGACTATTAACCTCCCATAAGCAAGATCGTGCCTCTGTGTATGTAGTCCAGTAGATCGTAGACATCCAGATACAGTTATGTATAGGGAAGAATATTTCAAACATAAAAGGCATCCTGTCCCTACCAGGAGGAAGGAGCTGTCCCACAGGGGGTGGGCAACCTATAGCCTGACTCCACCAGATGGCTTGAGTGTTTGTAGACTTCTGATCAGAACCAGGAGTTATAGAAACTCCCTCTTGCTCCTTCCTGTTCTCTAGCCCCTTTTTCTCCTCCCTCATTGTATATTAACTTTTTTTTTTCTACCTAGAGGTCTACCATCTTTTAATGAAGCTTTTAAAGATTTTTCCTACCTTCCCCTTTTTAAACAAAATAAAGGCTGGAGATGTACTGTATAGACAACTTGCATTGCAGATCCAAGGCTGTGGACTCTAGCCCCAGCACTACTGAAAAAAAGGAGAAGAAAATGGAGGTAGATGAGCCTGGTGCTGTTGTTTCATGCCTATAATCCTAGCTACTTAGAAAATGGAAAGCTGAGGATCAAGGTTTAGAGACAGACAAACCTGAGAGACTCCTATCTCTAATTAACCAGCAAAAAGCTGGAAGTGGAGCTGTGGCTCCAGTGGTGGAGTGCCATCCTTGAGCAGAAGAACTAAGCAAGACTGAGTGGCCTTGAGTTCAAACCCCAGTACTGGCACCATCAATGTCCCCACACACACACTCCCTACCCTACCCCTGCAAAAAAAAATAGAGGTAGATGAAGAAACACCATCTCTTCCTCTGCCCTCTTAAAAATGTCTGGCTCAAATTCTTCAGCATAGACTGCTGGTATTTCATCCTTTATCACCTTAAACTATTTTTACTTCTCCTTACTTCTCATCTTCATCTCAAGACCATGAGATCCTGGAGAACAGTGGCTCTCTCTCTTGTGGTCACATCCTAGCATGTCTGCATTCCAGCCTGCCCCACCTGGGCAGAGCATTGGAGGGGTGAACAGAGTGAGGGGTGAACAGAAGAAGGCATGGTTCACAGCCTTAGGAAAGCAGCGGCCACAGTGCAGATCTGCCTGGGCTGAGGGGGAAGATTATTCCGTGATCAGAGAAGTCCCTTCTCAATCTGCATGGTGAAAATTATCAAGTTTCCTAGGTAGCGACTTTCTGTTTTTTCCTTTACAGCAAGCAACCCAGTGATAGCTGCTCAGCTCTGGTAAGTACTTCTCCCACCTCCCAGACACTGGAGTATAGCTCTCCTCTCATTATTGTTTATTTGCTATGTTGATTTTTTCCTTAATACAATTAAGTCAGAGTGACTCACCTGAGAAATTTGTTTTTCCTTTTTCTGCTGCCTGACTACACTATCCTCCTTTCAATACCTTTCAATAAGTACACAACAGAATGTTCCAAGGCAGCTTGTTTTGCTGGGAGACACAGTTGCTCTGTTTGAGTAGTATAGTGCTTTGTTGTAAGGCAAGGGAGGATGTTAGATGCTAGGCAGCGTGCAGCCCCCTATACTACTGGCATGGCAGGCAGTGGTGCGAAGAGAGGCAGGCCCTTGAGCAAGGGCTCCTGAGCACTTGCTAGTTTTCCCATTCACCCATAGAGCCACTAGAATTCCTGCAGGAAAAGAACTTACCTCAAGACAGAAACATCTCCTGCCCAGGACTCAGCAAATGTTCTCTAAAGGGTCAGAGAAGAAATATTTTGGGCTCTGGGCTGTGACGTCTCTTTTGTGACTATTCATTCAGCAGCTGTGGACAATATGTAAATGAAGGCGCATAGCTGTGTTCTAATAAAATCTTCATCACAAACACAAGGAGCCACATTTGGCCCATGGTTTTGCCTGTGCATTGATATCATCTGTGAGCTCTGAAACAGCCCCCAATCCCCCTAACGCCCTGCTGGCCAAGCCAGGCCCTGGGTAAAGAGAATCACCTGTACTCAGGTGTGGACCCGGCACCATTCTTCAGAGCTCCCTAGGTGAGTCTAGTTGCGAGCCACTTATCTGCCTGGTGTCTCCCCTCTATCTCCCACTGAAACAGCTGTGCTTCCTAGTTGAGTTTGGGTGGCCGGGTGGATAACTGTCCTGTGAGTGGACTAGACTCCAATTGTTGGGCCCTTGGTCTGAACTCCAGGCCCAGCCCTCAAAGCTGCCAAGGAGGGTAGCCATTGAGATGGGCCCAGCTAGGCTGTGCTACTCACTTAGCCAGGACAGCTGGCCAACAGGGCACATGGTAGGGCGGGCTGCCATTGCTCTGGCTAATGACCAGAGCCCTGGCGGAGGCCTCAGAGCCCTCTCTGCTGCCATCAGTTTTTGCTAACCCACCCTGAAGCCTTAGGCCTTCCCATTTCTTGGCCTCCTTTTTTCTCATTTGCAGATGAGGAGGTTGGAATAGATGACTGTTTTCCCAATATTTTTTAAACCTCAGAGTTTCACAAATATATACACCTCTGACACACACACACACACAGCCTGACAAAAGCTCAACAGACAAAAGCCAAGCTACTCTGGAGGAAGCCAAAAGGGTCATGGGCTCCTCTGGTTCCTCCACCTCCTCCAGGCAGCTCTGAAGTACCTTCACAAACCCCAGGTGTGGAGAGCAGAATCAGCCCCTCCAGCCATACAGCTGCGAATTCAGCCTTTGCCTCTGGCTCTGAGCTGTGCCAGCAGTGCTGGTGCCTCTCCTCTGGATTCAACTCTCTGCATGCAGACTCTCCAACCTCCTAGCCCCCACCTGGTTGTTGTAGGACTGTGGCCATGCCCTGTGTCTAGGATCCTTAAGCTACAGCCTTTCTTCACCTGTCAGGTGTCTTGCTTTTAATTCTCGGGACTGTAAGCTACAATATTTCTTACCTTTGCTCTCTTAGATGATTGTTTTGTTTTTTTTCCTGATAAAATGACTTTCTCCTTTAGCATCTAGTGGAGATTATATATTGGGAATGAAAACAAACTTTAAAACAAAAAAACTCCCACCGGAAAAAAAAAAGCCCCAGTAAATATACCCTTTAGGAACAAATGAGCTAATAACTGCTGCTTGCAGCTGTTGAATTGCTCTTTGTAACCTGTGGGATCCCAGGGTGAAGAGAATTGCTGTGGGAGCCATGGATGAAATTGTGCCCTGGGCCACAGAGGTGCCACTAGAAAAACAGCACCTTGCAGAACACTTAACCTACCTGCTGAAATTCAGCCTAGGCAGCCTGGCCTTGAGCCTAGCTCCACTTACTAGCCGCCTCTGAAAACTGGAAGGTAGAGCCAGTTAGACCCTAGGTCAGACTCATACAAGGATGGCTCCCTCTCATTGTTGCAGAAGCAATAAACCTTGATTCTAAGCAAACCACCCTAGCAACAGCGACTGACTGATAATTTGGCCAGTTTGTGGGTTTTTCTGGCAGATACTGAGTGTGCATTTTAAACATTGCATTTTATACCAACCACCTCTCTAATTTACTTATTTTTTTTGGCCAGAGTAGTTCTATTAAAGCTTCTATCAAAACAGCATCATACATTAGGAACGCTGAAAATTCCTTTTGGCTCTCTGAGACCCTAGCATAGTATAGTGGAAAGATGACAGATAGGCTGTGAGATTGTGCAGGTATTGAATTAGCCCTGTTTCTGCCATTGACTGGCAGGCAGCTTTTCTAGTTCCTTATTAGGCCCTGGCCCTTGAACTCTAAAGTGAGGTGATAGGAAACCTTGCTGTCTTGAGATGAGAAGTAAATAGTATCAGATGTGAAGTTCCCAGGACAGATGCCTGGGTGGAATGCCCAGGCACAGTGGTGGTCAGGTGAACAGCAGCATTAAGAACAAAGGATCACAGGGGCTCCCACTGCAGACTCAGGGGTAGATGTCGAATAGTAGCCTGTCCATCACTAGAACTCCCTGGTGTGCTCATTGTGGAATTACCCACAATGCCATGCAGTGCCCACAATGGGAGTTGAAATAACTGTGTTTGCACAATGGAAAGGAACCTTTCTGCCACCAAAATATGGCATCACCTCTGCATTGTTCAGTAGTACCTGTGAGTGTAAATTTGTAGGCTTTTAAGTGAAGACTGCAAGTTGCTGTTGTAGTTTCTCTAGCTATATGTTCACATAGGTATCCAGTAGCCAAAAAAGAAATAGTGTATTCCTAATGGAATAAGTGGTACATAGGATTTGTTTATGATTGCTTCAAAAAATCCATAGCAATGCCACTTAACCTGTAAAATTGTAACTGTTCTTTTTCTGTTTTCTTTTTAGCGCTAAAACAAATCCTGAGGTTCACAATTATCAGGTGAGACACTGATTTTCTTTTTAAATTATCTTTAAGTAGTTGTACAAGGTCAGCATGAGTACAATGCATCTTGATCAACATCACTCTTCCAACATATATATTTATTTATATTTATTAAATATATTTTAAATATTATTAAATATGTTTATATATTTGTTTGGTTCGTATGTTAGAGCTTGAACTCAGGGCCTGGGCACTGTCCCTTAGTTTTTTCTACTCAAGGCTGGCACCACTTGAGACACAGCCCCACTTCTGGCTTTTTTGCTAGTTAATTGGGAATGAGAGTCTCATGGACTTTTCTTGTCGGAGCTGACTTTGAACTGTGATCCTCAGATCTCAGCCTCCTGAGTAACTAGGGTTACAGGCATGCATCACTAGTCATATTAGTTTTAAAGGTTTTTTTAAAGCTTCTAAATTTTCACAATAAGCAGTCATTATGCTTAACATCAGATTTCCAAAAAACAGCAATGCATGTTTTTTGAGACTTTTGCTTCCTCTGATTTCTGCTTCTTCTTAGTCATCCAAACTTCCTGTTTCTCCTAACCTTGTCAACTGGCAAGTGACATGTGTCTTAAGTATCTAGGTGGTCAAACACAACCCCTTAGCAGTATTCAAGTGAGACAGCTTTTTGTCAAAGTGTGTTGCAGGCCTAGGGAACACAAGTCCCTTGAGATGTGCCTCTAAGTCAAGTCTTTGGAAACCATATCCTTCATTCCCTTCCTTAGACTTTACAGTGCCCATTGGGAGCTAAAAGTACTGAGAAGCCTTGCAAGAAAACTGTTTTTAATCCAGTGTTTCCCAAAAAAAGATAACCTTACTCCCCTTTTCACAGTGAACTTACATAATACTGATGGGTCAGTGATGGCTGGGTTGCACTGCGTAGAGCACTATTAGACTCCTTGTCTAGGAAAGTATGATTCCATGGATGGTATGCTGCTCTTTCACAGGCTGGCCAGCCAGCCAGAGTCTACCTGCCCACCCACCTACACACTCACTAGTGCCAAAGCCTTGGGTAGCCCAGCCTCCGCAAGCCAGCACCTACCTCTCAGTCCATCCATAGCCTTCTATGACCTGCCTCTGATATTTCCACACTTATTTCCTACCATTCTTCATCCCATACAGAACAATTGCATAATTCCTGCCCTCGAATTTCTTCTCACTGTTTCTTTGTTCATGCTCATATGTGTAGATCCTCTGACTACTAAAATACTCTCCAAAGACCAACTCAGAAGCTCCCCCTTCCTCATGATTCTCTCTGAAAGCCCTCAGCTTCAGTGGCTCTCAACTCTACTGAACAATAAAAACACCCAGGTAGCATTTTTTAAAAAAGAAGCTAGCACTTGGGTCTCATCCTAGAAGCTTCAACAGAAACTTGAAGGATAGGAACTGGGCATCAGTAGAGCTTTAGGGGATGGTTCTAACAAGCGAGGCAGGCAGGAGCTCTGGATGGATGATATGCACCTTGCTTTCCAAGGTGGTACTTTGTTTCTGCTATGTGGCTCAAACTTCCAACTTGGGGGTCATGTATTAGTCTTTTTTTTTCTGTTGCTTGTAACAAGATATCTGATGCTGATTACTTTATAAAGGAAAAGCAGTGCATTTAGCTCATGGTTTCGGAGGTTCAAGAGCATGGCTTCCGCTCCCCTGAGGGTCATTCAGTGGATGGCATCACAATGGTAGGAACATGAGTGGAGGACAAGATCACATGATGAGCCAGGGCAAGAGAAGGGTTGGGCTTGCTCTTTTCTAACAACTCACTCTTTACTCACCAGGGTCTTACAAGAACTAGCTTCATCATTTGCAGTGGTAGAGCCCTCAGAGACCTAATCTAGACTTCCTGCTAGATCCTGCCCCACTTCACACAGCCTCTCTCTGGGACCAGTCCTCCAGTCCTTGGAGAACAGATGATATTCAGACTGTCACAGGCCAAGTCTCTTGTCCTGGGCAGGTGTAGATGTTTCAGGGCTGCTGCTCTCCCGGGTGTCTGTGCTCTGCTGTCTGTCTGTGAATGTCACAAGTAACAACGCTCTTTCTTAAGCGATGTCACTTTGAAGCCTTATTCTAATTGTTCCCTTTCCTGGTCTTTGCTTAATGTAGATACTAATTCTTTAGATGGCACAAGGTCTCAATGTGTATTATCCCTTTGAGGTTTCCAAAGAATTTGGTGGTGATTGGCTTACACACATGAAGTCATATTCCCAAGTGTGCAAAATCTGGAAATAACTACCAAGTTATAGGAACAAGTAAAAAAATCCATATCCCCTTCTCCTTTCCTTCACTGGCTTCTTGCAGCTTCTTATTCACAGACTGTTTAGGTTAAGGAATTTTTTAGTGTAACCGGAATGCGATAGGGAAAGGGGAAATTGTTGACAAGTGATCAGTACTAGGAGGAAAGGAAAAAGACTGAGAGTAAATAAAGCAAAGTGCCTGTGTCTTCTTCCGCCTCCTCCCTGGGTGTGTCTACCTCAGCCTTTTCTACTTGCAGTGAACACCCAGTGTTTGTTGAAATCGGATCTTCAGAAACTTTTTATCCATTGTTTTCCCCACATGGTTGGCAGCCTCTGGCCCTTTGCACCTGGTCAGTTCCAGCAGTCCTGTGTTGTTCTAGCAAAGTTTGAGGGGTAAATTGACCGGGAAGAGGACGTCCTGAGAAGTGGCCTGATGGCATCAGAATTCTGTGGAGGGCTTTCAGGAGGATGGTGTTACAGCATTTTAGCTTGTTCCCAGCAGAGCAAGGTCAGCCAACCGCAAAGGATGGATGGCTGTGTTCTCGATGAGGACACTATTGGCATTTGAAGAGGGACACTCCTTCATTGTGTAGGACTGTCCCCAGAATTGTAGGACATTTAGCTTCCCTTTTCTCTGTCACTGTGACAACCAAAAAGGCACACAAGCATTTTCAGTTGTCTTCAGACAGACATGACTGCCCCAGTTAAAACAACCACCTGGGTTGAAATAAAAATCCTCCTTGACAGCTCAGAATGTGAATAAATTGCTGGAAGAGACTGAGGAAGGTTCTGGAGTTTCCTTTTCTCAAGACTGTGATTGAGGTTCTCAGATCTCTCTGAGCTAATTGTATTTAAAGACAGAAAAGACTGGAGAATCCCATTGCAGGTTAGTCATCTCTTGTTGACATCTAAAGGTGTTGAATCTCATTTGGGGCTTGGCTGTGTAGCCAAATCATCTGGAGCCATTTGGCTTTAGAGAGATCCTCTGAACTTGGTGGGTTTCTATGTCCCTTGAGAGAGCAAGATAGGAGGAGGTTTTCTCAAGGAGACTCTGAAGTCATGGTCAGCACTCAGATTCTCCTGCTAAGATGTTTTTCTCCAGATTTATTTTCCCTGCAGCATGACTTGGGGGCTGCAGCCTCAGCCTGCTGACAGCCCTCTTTGAAGGAGGAAAGAAAACCAACTGGAATACAGAATAGACTATGAGGGCATCTCAGGTCCATGAAAATTAGATGAACAGAACTGCTGAGAATTTTCTGACACAGAGAGAAAACTACTGCATATTAACCAAAGCAGCAGGAGAAAGAGAAAGAAAGGAAAAAATAAGTATGAGATTAATGGTCCTGAGACTGTAGTGGCTTTAATGTCGAGAGGGCCTCATTTACCTCATAGCAAGTTCAGCCTTGAGAAGACTCTTGATTTTTCCAATGTCTAGGACTGCTGCCCTCTGCAGGCTACAAGTGAGTAAGCAGCCTGCTACCTAGCCAGGCCCATCTGGTCTTCACCCTTGCTCACTGGTCCGGAGCTGTTTTCTTATCTTTCAGTGAATAGGTCCTTCCTTCTCCCCTCTCTCCCTCCCTTCTTTCTTCCCTCCCTCCCTTCCTACCTCCCTTCCTCCCTTCCCCAGCTTCCTACCACAGGATAAAAAGCACTCTGGGTGGCTTTTTGTTGGTTTTACATTGCATTTTGGAAAATTATTTGCATTGTTTATACCAGAGCAAAAGAAACAAGATTTACCCACAGCTCTGCTACTTTACTTCGCATCTCTGTCTAATCCTATGTGTGAACATAACTATTCTGCATAGCTGTCATCATCTCAGTAATGACCAAAAAAATTGTTCTTGAAGACAAAAATCCACTCGTCCTCTGGCATCTGTTTCTTGGGAGAGATGAGTATTGCCTTTCCTAGGCACACTGGATGACCCTTGCTTCCGGAGTCAGCCTCCCAGACGCTTCTCAGGGGGCCATCAATGAAAATAATGCTTTCAGAGACAGGCGTTGGCTTCCAGCCCCACCAGTCATTGTCAGTAAGGAATATGATCACCTTGGGAAAGGTCCATGCCCAGCTCAGCTAGGGCTCAGTTACCAATTTTCTATTCATAGCCCCTTTGCCCCTGAGGTAGGTGCCGCTGGAAGAGAAAGTAAATGAGACCATTGAAATCCGAAGGCCACTGAGTAACCAAGCTTGGTGTTTTATTTCTAGCCTCCGTACCATCCTAATGTCCACTCCAGCCAACCCCGGTGGCACCCCCACTCTCCAAATGTCAGGTAAGTGCTCTGAAAACTTCTCCTTTCTCAGGAAGTTCCCATTCCACTTGAGTATGCCTTGGAAGTCTGTTTCAAAGACAAGCCTAAGAGTAGCATGGCTGTGATCGAAATGAATCATTTGCAAAGCAAAGGAAGCCACAATCCAGTCTTGGTGAAATAAAAGTGAATTGGTTTTTTTAACATCATCCTAACCTCAAATATTTGGGGGTTGGCTTTATATCAGAGATATCACTTGAATTTTCTAAGTAACATTTTTCTGTTCTGAAAATTTATTTACTTTGAACATGATTAAAGCTTGAGGCTTATTGTTATGGGGTTTTGTTTCTTAAAGGATCCCCCCCTCCAGGGATGGGGCAGCATTTACTTTGGTTGGCAATAGGTCTTCCTAAATCTGGGGTCAGAGAACTGGTGGTCCCTTTCACAACCACTCAGAGTAGTTTCCCTCTGAGGTGTGACTAGCATTGTTGTCTGAAAACAGCTACAGATAATACGTCTGTACAAGGACATGACCGTGTTCCAGTGAAACTTAGAAAAATGGTAATACCTGAAGCCAGGTGCCAGTAACTCAGAACTATAATCTTAACTACTCAGGAAGCTGAGATTCAGAGGACAGTGGTTCAAGGCCAACCCAGGCAGAAAAGTCCATGAGATTCCCATTTACAAAATAATCAGAAAAAAAGCCAGTTTAGAGACTTGTCTCAAGTGGTAGAGTACGAGCTAAGCAAGTAAGGTGAATGAGAGTATGAGGTACAGGGGTTGGAATTCAAGCTAAGTAAATAAAGGTGGGATTTGATGCCAGGCTTCTCATTGATTGTCATTGGCTGTCATGGTCCTCCCAGATGAGCTAGCACCACATATGCTGTGTTTATAGTTGGCTAGAAGTTCCTTAAAGGCCAGCTTTGTGAGAGCAATCCTACCTTTACAGTTTGCATGTTTAGATCAGTCTTAACTGGTATTTAGATGCAAAGCTATTTCAGAAACATAGCTGATGAACTCAGTGTGCATAAAGGTGAGGTTTCTACCCTCGTTCCCTGAGGAAGAACAGAGAACCAAGTGGTAGAAATAAGTAAGTCTACCAACAACAAATGAAGTGGTAGTTTATTTGGGACTTTGTAGTGTTATTTTGTTACTATAAACACTTTGATATTTGTGTCACTCTTTAAAGCAAATCAGACTATTGGAGTGATCATTGTAAATCTTTCCGTATTTCAATGTTGTTTCTTTTCCAGACATGAGAAACACAGGAGGTTTATAAGAATGTTATTTTATTAACACTTCTTTTGCCAAGCATCATACTTTAGTATTGCCTATTTTATCAGAGTAATTTCCTTCTGAGCATGACCTAGGCCCGCTTTTCACAGGGATTCATTCAACAGTCCCCTCAGTGCCCTACCAAGTTTTATTAATGGGTCCCCAGGGACCCATTGGAAAGGTCACTTCTCAGCTCTACCCTAGACCTGCTGCATCAGAATCCCTGAGGCAGGGGATAGCATTGTGCAAATTAGCAAGCTCTTCAGCCATACCCCATGAGAAGAGAGTTTATTGATGCAATACTTCTGACAAATGCTATGTAAGATCTGCTCACTGTGCATACCAGCTTGGTAAAGGAACTTCTCCCCTTCACCCGGTTTTCCCAGACTGACTTGACCACACGATGCCCTTTCAGAATGACTCAGCCTTTCCTTGACTTGGAATGTGATAGATGATCCTCATTGTTAACATATGAAAGTAGTGAACCATTCATGTCCATGTGTAAGCATCCCCGCTCATTGTTTCCCGACCCATTTCCTTTGTGTGTGTGTGTTGTCTTGCTCTCATTCTCACTTGTCTTCCATTTTCCCACTAATCATTCACTCTGCAAACACAACAGGCCACCTTTTCAGGATGACAGGTTGCACTGGAAATCATCGCCCAGTGGAGATGACAGCCATTTTGACTATGTCCACGACCAGAACCAGAAGAACTTGGGAGGGGTGCATGGTGTGACATATCGGGACAAACTCATGACTGCACTTTGAGAGACAGAAGCATCTTCCTTCCAGTCATCACCATAGATTCACTGCATTCCTTGAGAAGTGTCTTGGCCACCTGGGGATATCCTAAAGGAGTGGTTCCGAGGGGTGTTTGCAGTGTCTGTGTAAATATTTGAAGATAACCATGATAGTCATGCTCTACCATTGACTGCATTCTCAATAAAATGAAGGGAGTTAAAGGCTCAGGAATCATTTTAATATTCTGATCTTAAAATTGGAGTAAAAGTCTGTGCTTCTCATCTCACTGCATACCTGATATTATTTTGTTATTAAATAATGAGACCAAATAAAGCCAAAAAAGCTTGGGGAAATTGGTTGGCATCCGCTGCTGTGGTAGGGTTGAGATTGCTCACATCCATCCTCTACCACTGTATGACCTTGGGTGGGTCATGCTATGACCTTTGTTGTCCTCATTTCCCTACCTGAAAATAATGGGTTAGACTAAGAGATCCCCAAGGTTCTTTCTGACTTAAGATTTTGTGATCTGTTGAAATTTAATCACTTATTTCAACTGAGGACTAACTTTCCAACTAAACTTCGCATAAGGAAAACTGCGATAATCCCCTTCTGCAGCAGAAATTCAATAAAGTACATTAACTTATTCAATGTTATATGAAAACAGGGAGACCCAGAATTTTCTGTCTTAAAGCCATTCAGCCACTTTGAATTTCAGCCTTGATACTAATCATAAATCACATAAATCATGTCTGTTTTGATAGAATTTGCTGCTCAAGTATATGAATAATTTTTCATGTCTTAGTGATGGTGCTGCTCACTTGCATGATTTCAGAAAACATCATCATGAATACACGCTATTGGAGTGAAGGGTTGGTTTTTTACTCTTAACTTCACTCCTTCAAAGGAGTGATGCACTTGGGGCTCAAATGAAAGCCTGTGAGGTATAGGGGTTGTGCCAAAGCACTATGTATCGTAGGTTGGGCCATGACCTCAAACCAGAAAACAATGTGTTGTCTTTTAGAATGAAATGTGTACAAAAATATTTATTTCCCCCATTTCAAGTCATGAGGCAAGCTTTTTTTCCCTCTCAGTAGATAGATCTGAGATATATTTTGACTAGCGTTTTTGTATAATTGGTTAATTATTGTGCCACTTTATATATTTATATATATATATATATAATTGCAATTTGGCCCCTTTTTTTGCCCTTAAAAATGTATTGAAGCCAGGCATTGGTGGCTTACCTGTAGTCCTAGTTATTCAGTAGGCTGAGATTTGAGAAACACAGTTTGAAGCCAGGCCAGGCAGCAAAGTCTAAGACTTTTATCTTCAGTTCACCACCAAAAAGCCAGAAGTGCAGCTAGCTATGGCTCAAGTGGTAGAGTGCTAGCTTTGAACACAAAAAAACACAGGGACAATGACTGGGCCCGGAGTTAAACCCTTCAGATCAGCACACATACCCAAAAAAATGTATTGACATCCTTTGAAGCATTTCCATGCTCAAATCTGATCTCTTTTGATTACCTCAAAAGTGTATTCAGGAGGAGGGAGTCAGCTGCATGTGTTGCATGGTGAAATCAGCCTCCCATCAACTCTTCCCGAGACATTTGTTTACAGGTGTGTTTCATTTTAGCAGATGTGTTTACCCTCAGTATGTGCTACATCCATACAAATGTGTTCTGAATCTTTTCATCTCTCTGATAACATTTTTACCAATGTGTTTCCAAGGAATAAAAATTATTCTTGCTTTTATTTGACTCCATCTTCATTTCATCAATTCTTTTACGCACAAATATCATCTTTGCACAATCTGTTAATGGGAAATTGGCATCTCTGAAGGTGAGCATTCAGTTAACAGCAAGCAGCAGGAGCAGCCTAGAATGAGACCACTCTTGATGAGAGTGGCTCTTCTTGTAGACGAGTGGCTGAGACACTTCTTCACCCGGGGAAGCAGGTGAAAGTAGTACCCCATCACAAGTGCTGAGAGGAATGAAGTCGTAGTAGGGGGCCTATTCCCCAATAACAGTTCTACGCTGAGGGTGGTGTTTACCTCAGCTACTTTTCCCTACCTGGCTGAAGACATCCAAACTTCTGTGTGCAGTCTTCTGGAGTCTGTAGACCTTGCCCCATCCCCTCGAATAAATACTTTTCTGCTGAAAGTCACTTGAGTCGATTCAGTCATCTGTAAGCAAGAAGACTGCAATGTGTGCGCTTATGACTTAATGAGGTGTGTTCTTTGCACTCCTCAATCGTTCTTTCTCTTTGGCATTTGACAGCTTCCTTCTTCTTACTAGCCTCCTCTCTTCTGTCATCCTGTCTTGGTGTCTTCCCAGGGTCTTTCCTCTGCTTACTGCTCTTCTTGCTGGTCTACTTGGATCTTCTCATCCTGTCGTGACATAGATGCTCTTGATTTGGAAGCCATCATCTTTAATACATACTGTTCCTGTGAGATTTTAGACCGATGTGTCAAACTAGACATCTCATTTTCATGTTAAACTCCACATATTTAGACATCCTCTTTTACTAGGCTTCTCACCCTCAACTTTTTTTCTGTTTTTCTCATAGTAAAAACGTATATACCATCCCCAACTCCCTCTTGCCACCATCTCCAGGTGGTCCATGCTGCCTCCTTGTATTTAGCCTTCCTTTCGCTTTTTCCCAATACTGATCTTGCAGATGCCTCTTTCTCCTTGCTCAGAAGGCCCACACTGAACTCCTTGACTCCTGACAAACTTTCCCTCACAGCCACTAGCATAATCTTTGTAATACCCCGCTGACCACCACTCTGATGCTGGCCCTCATCACCTGTATGATGAAGTCCAAGGCTCTCTCCATGGGTCTCCCCCTTGCTTCATTTGTCCCATTCTTCCGCATTCCCACTCCCTAGTTCTCACTCTCCTGTTTAGAAGCCTAGAGTACTAAACTGCTTGCAGTTCCCAGCATACGCCGCACCCTGCTGTTACTCACATCTGTGCCTTTGCAAGTGCTACTCCTTCCACCTAGAGTTCT